TTTTGCAGGATTCGCTGACCTTTATAGGTAAACTTTTAAAAAAAAATTTTGAGGGTTTGCTAACTTCTATGCCTGGATTTTTTTAAAGATTTTTTATGGAGAAAAATTTAAGCTTCAGAAGTCGATTTCTTGAAGAATTCTTCCAGAGGACTGGTTGAATCTCAAGATGTAAAATTTTCTTAATTTTTATGGAGGACCATGGGGGTCAACTATTTTAAAAGTTAGCTCACCTCTATGGGTGGACTTTTTTAAGAATTTTGTTGGAGGGATAGCTGACATCTATACTTAGATTTTGTTAAAGAATTTTTATGGAGGAAAAGTTAAGCTCCCGAAGTTGTTTTATTGAATAATTCTTCCAGAAGACCTGTTAATCTCAAGTTATGATTTTTTTTAATATTTGTGGGAGACCATTTGATCTCTCTTTTAAAGAATTCTTATGAATAACTTTTTGACCTCTAGAAGGAAAAGTTAAGCTCCAGAAGACAATTTATTGAAAAGCTCTCCCAGAGGACCTGTTGATCTCATGTCATGAATTTTTTAAACATTTTTTGTGCCGAAGCATTTGACCTCTCTTTTAAAGAGTTTTTAGGGAGGACTTGTTGACCTCTAGCCATAATTTTTTTTTTTAAGAATTTTTATGAAGGAGCAATTGGCCGTGGACTTTTTAAAGAATTTTTATGGAGATCTGGTTCACTCTAGGAGTGGATTTTTTAAAGAATTTTTTGGAGATCACAAGGCGTGGATTTTTTTAAAGAATTTCTATAGAGAACTGGTTGACCTCAAGGCGTGGATTTTTAAAATTATTTTTATGGAGATCTGGTTCACTTAAGGCGTGGATTTTTTAAAGAATTTTTATGGAGATCTGGTCCACTTAAGGCGTGGATTTTTTAAAGAATTTTTATGGAGATCTGGTCCACTTAAGGCGTGGATTTTTTAAAGAATTTTTATGGAGATCTGGTCGACTTAAGGCGTGGATTTTTTAAAGAATTTTTATGGAGATCTGGTTGACTCTAGGCGTGGATTTTTTAAAGAATTTTTATGGAGATCTGGTCGACTTAAGGCGTGGATTTTTTAAAGAATTTTTATGGAGATCTGGTTGACTCTAGGCGTGGATTTTTTAAAGAATTTTTATCGAGATCTGGTTAACTCTAGGCATGGATGTTTTAAATAATTCAAAAGTAGAACTAGTTAACTTGTATAAGACTTCCTAGAAAGAGCTGGTTGACCTCAGAAGTGGATTTATGAATATAATTTATCGAGAACCACCAACTTGACCATAAAGCTTGGATTTTATTGCAATTTTTATGGAGAAGTAGATGACTACAAAGCGGGGATTTTTTCTTAAAGAATTTCTATGGAGGAATAGTGGACCACAAGGCATGAATTTTTAAATTTTTATGAAGGATAATTTTTATAGGCAATCGGTTGGCTTCAATACATGGATTTCTCTAGAAGTTATTTTACCGTTAAATCATCTATAAAAAATCATCCATTCACAAATTTTCTCAAAATAAATTATGAAATAAAAAAAATGAACACAATTATTTACGACTTTTGTGGATAACTAAATGTTCTGCATGGTTGACTTGCCATCCAAGCCCACAATGGCCGACTAAACGCAAACGTATAAAAAAACAACATCATAAAATGCAAATAATCTAATCCATAGAAATGCCTTTTAGTGGCCAGTCAAACGTCAGTCTGCCATTGTCAAGGTTATTATAATCTTTCACAGCAAAAAACGGGAAAAATTATGGTAATTGCTGTGGAAAACCCCAAACAAACAACCCCATTAGGAAGACAAAAAAGAAGAGGCAAAAAAAAACATTTGACCAAAAAACTAACCACCCAAAAGGAAGCCACCATGGCCAGACACGTGACACTGACCGGAAATGCCACAATAATTATGAGAGCAGAACGTGTTTGTCAATTCCTAGCCACCGTACACAAATGGACTTCAAAGCTAACATATATGAATGTATGAGTGTATGTATGGGTGTGTGTGTGTGAGGGTATGCGGTATAAGTTAAATGAAAATAAAACCAATTGGTTAGTGTGATTGTGTGTGGCATATCCAACCAACTAAGCGTGGTGGCATGTATTGCAGCAGAATATTTAACAAGGAATATTACGCGGTTCTAATACCAAAGAACAATGAATGAAAAGAAAAAAAATGAAAGCAAAACAAATCAGCCAAACCGTCTTGGCCATAAAATTTATGAAAGCTAAAGTAACAAAAAAATAAGCCAAACAGCCTGGCAACTACCCATCAAAGACTCTTGGCATTGCCTTAGACCCCATAACTGGCAGAACATTATGTCATTCTTCTGGGTTTATTAGGATTTAAGTTATAACCCAAAAGAACTTTCTTTTTCAACTTGACGCCGTTTTTATGCATTTATTTCTGTATGTGTGTGTGTGTGTGAGTTTGTCATTGTTCCATTGTGGTTGACATAGTGGCGGCTAGCGTGTTTTATAATCTTAATTACATACAATTTATATTGTCAGTTTTATTTGAATGTGGGAGCAGCACAGAGGGACTACGAAGTAGAGCGGAGGGTAAGAGATGGCAAATAAATAACAAGTTCAAGGAGTTCAGGATACATATTTCAAGGTCATTTGGGCTAAACACCATAACAAATGTATTATGGCTGTGTGGGAAATGCCATTAGAAATTCCTTGGGAGTTTATCAGAAATTCAAATAACAAAATTAGCATGATTATTCACATGCACTGATCGGCATATATATTAGGGAAAATATTACTGAATAGGCTATTTCAAGTCTTGGATTTTTTTAAATTTTTTTTTTTTAAGGACTCAAGGCTGATTTTTTAAAGAATTTCTATAAAGGACCACAAGGCCTCAAGGCGTGATTTTTTTTAAAGAATTTTTATGGAGGACTTGTTAAGCTCCAGGCGTGAATTTTTTAAAGAATTTTTATGGAGGACTTGTTAAGCTCCAGGCGTGAATTTTTTAAAGAATTTTTATGGAGGACTTGTTAAGCTCCAGGCGTGAATTTTTTAAAGAATTTTTATAAAGGACTTGATGACCTCAAGGCCTGGATTTAAAAAAAAAATATAAAGGACGTGATGACCTCAAGGCGTGGATTTTCTAAAGAATTTTCATAAAGGACTTGTTTAGCTCCAGGCGTGGATTTTTTAAAGAATTTTTATAAAGGACTTGTTAAGCTCCAGGCGTGGATTTTTTAAAGAATTTTTATAAAGGACATGTTAAGCTCCAGGTGTGGATTTTTTAAAGAATTTTTATAAAGGACTTGTTAAGCTCCAGGCGTGAATTTTTTAAAGAATTTTTATAAAGGACTTGATGACCTCAAGGCCTGGATTTAAAAAAAAAATATAAAGGACGTGATGACCTCAAGGCCTGGATTTAAAAAAAAAATATAAAGGACGTGATGACCTCAAGGCGTGGATTTTCTAAAGAATTTTCATAAAGGACTTGTTTAGCTCCAGGCGTGGATTTTGTAAAGAATTTTTATGGAGGACTTTTTAAGCTCCAAGCGTGATTTTTTTTTTTTAATAATTTTTATGGAAGACTTTTTAAGCTCCAGACGTGGATTTTTTAAAGAATTTTTATAAAGGACTTGTTAAGCTCCAGGCGTGGATTTTAAAAAAAAAAATTATAAAGGACTTGTTAAGCTCCAGGCGTGGATTTTTTAAAGAATTTTTATAAAGGACTTGTTAAGCTCCAGGCGTGGATTTTTTAAAGAATTTTTTTAAAGACTTGATGACCTCAAGGCGTGGATTTTTTAAAGAATTTTTTAAAGGACTTGTTAAGCTCCAGACGTGGATTTTTTAAAGAATTTTTATAAAGGACTTGTTAAGCTCCAGGCCTGGATTTTCTAAAGAATTTTTATAAAGGACTTGTTAAGCTCCAGGCGTGGATTTTTTAAAGAATTTTTATAAAGGACTTGTTAAGCTCCAGGCGTGGATTTTTTAAAGAATTTTTATAAAGGACTTGTTAAGCTCCAGGTGTGGATTTTTTAAAGAATTTTTATAAAGGACTTGTTAAGCTCCAGGCGTGGATTTTTTAAAGAATTTTAATAAAGGACTTGTTAAGCTCCAGGCGTGGATTTTTTAAAGAATTTTAATAAAGGACTTGTTAAGCTCCAGGCGTGGATTTTTTAAAGAATTTTTATAAAGGACTTGTTAAGCTCCAGGCGTGGATTTTTTAAAGAATTTTTATAAAGGACTTGTTAAGCTCCAGGCGTGGATTTTTTAAAGAATTTTTATAAAGGACTTGTTAAGCTCCTGGCGTGGTTTTTTTAAAGAATTTTAATAAAGGACTTGTTAAGCTAAAGGCGTGGATTTTTTAAAGAATTTTTATAAAGGACATGTTAAGCTCCAGGTGTGGATTTTTTAAAGAATTTTTATAAAGGACTTGTTAAGCTCCAGGTGTGGATTTTTAAAGAATTTTTATAAAGGACTTGTTAAGCTCCAGGCGTGGATTTTTTAAAGAATTTTTATAAAGGACATGTTAAGCTCCAGGTGTGGATTTTTTAAAGAATTTTTATAAAGGACTTGTTAAGCTCCAGGCGTGGATTTTTTTAAAGAATTTTTATGAAGGACTTGTTAAGCTATGGAGGACCATGACGTATGATAAATTTTCTATACATCCTCTAAACATGAATTTTTGAAATGTAAGGTTAGAGACCCTTAAACATAGGCTTTTTAAATAATTTGTATAAAAGACTATAGGGATTAAACTTCGGATTTCTTAAAGATTTGTTTTTAAATATTATCAGACTTCAAAACCAGGACTATCAGATATTGTTGATTATTAGAATATTGTTATGGAGGTCCATTAGACCCTTGAATATATATTTTTTATTTTATCCACCTTTATTTATCTTTTATATTCCATGCCCATTGTAGAAGTGGAAGGGATACTTAAATTTAATTCAGAATATTATTTTTCCCAATATTAATTACATTAAAAAATATTTAAAAAATATCGAAGTAATAACTCTGCTTTATACTACTCACTCTGTTTCATTGTTTTCAAACACCAGCTCGCCTTGTTGTGGTTCAAAATCTTTACCCGCCTTAGCGGTACCATCCTCCGTCCAATAGGGTATGATCACCTTGCCACGCGCACCCGAATAACGTTGCACTTTCAATTCGTAAGCACCGACCGATTCAACCAATTCATGATCTTTTTGGCTAAGTGCAAAGATACCAGCATGATCGTCATCGAGAATCATGACGGTGGCCACCTTGGGCACCGACAGCACGGCCGGTTCCGATGGATTGCTGAGACGTACATAGAAATGTTCATCTTGTTCGAAAACGTCGTCATCGATTACTTCGATTTTGAATCGTTGCTCGTCGACGCCCGGTGGGAAGGTGAGAACACCTTTCTTGCCCACATAATCACTGCCCGCTTCAGCGCTACCATCTTCGGTCTGATATTCGACCGTGGTATAGCCGGAAATGTCGCCGCGACGGACGACACGTACCTCAAATTCACCACAACTCTCCATGACCGTGTAGTGACCCGGCTCGAAGAAGATCCGCAATGGAGCTTCTTCTTCGTCCGATTGAACATCGACACGTTGCAACTGAGCCTTAACTTCGCTCAAATCACTTTGGGCCCGTTCTTGAATTTTGCGCATTATGTTGCCGCTACCCATCATTTTGCGGGTGGCCTGAATGCGATAGAAGGCCCGCGACTTGGGACCGCGATTAATCATTTGCTCCTGTGCCATCATTTCTAATTGCTCCAGATCACTTTGTGGATATTTCTTGCGCAGATCCTTTAGCAACGAAATGTACTCACGTCGCGCCTCCTCAAAGTCTTTCATCTCCTCCGTCTCTTCCAAAGCTTTGATCTCATTCTCTTGCTGGTTCATTTCGAGCGCAGCGTCGCCCTCAGCGCTCACAATAACGCCACGCTTGTTCATGCGATAATTCTTGTCCAAATATTTGTAGATTAGCAGGCGGCGATCCGCGATGTAGGCGGTCAGCACGGTGGCGGGGAAGAACATAAACGTCAGCAGACCCTCCCATACTTCAACACGACCAGGAGATATCTGAGCCAGAATCAGATACAACCAAATGTAGGCAAACACCGACCATGTGGCCGTCACGAAGAACACACGCAAATGTTTGATCTTGCGCACCTCTCCGTCGGGCACAACCAGAACGCACAAAGCTATAATCACGAACAGATTGTAGGCAGCCGAACCGACAATGGTGCCGGGGCCGAGATCGCCGGCCTCGAAGTTCTTGGCAAACATTTCGATGACAGAGAGTAGAATCTCGGGAGCACTGGAACCCAGGGCCATCAGGGTTAGATTGGCAACGGTCTCATTCCAGACACGCACCACGACAATTTGCTTTTCTCCATTCTTCTTTTTGATCACCACTTCCTTCTCCTTGGACGTGATTACTTCAATTGCTCCCATAAAGCGATCGGATACAATTGAAACGCCGATAAACAGGTAGATCATGACAAAGAAATAGAACAGGCCACGTGCCACACGATCGCCCATACTGACGTTGGTGAGCGGATGCCACAGGGGTATCACCAGACCTTCGGAACACTGCAAATCGGTACCGTAGCCCATGGCAACGGAGACGTTGTCGAGTGTCGAGCCCGATGATCTGGCTGTCGTTGCATCGGCCAATGAATATGCCGGCGATGTATTGGCGCCGTTATTATCATCGTCGTCGCCGTCGCCATTATCGCCAGCAGAGGCGGCCGCACGTGCAACCAGGGCATCGGTGACAGCTTTCAGGGTGGAGGTATCATTTTCATCATCGTCAGCCAGTGTGAGCGTTATTGTGCAGGACGCCAAGAGCACACAAAGTGCTACGATCAGCTGTAACGATGACGACGATAATCGTTTTGTAAAAAGACGACCCATGTTTGTTCTCTCTATTTTGTTTCAATTGTTTCTCTCTGAGTGTATTGTTTGCTTACGCTCTTTTGGGTGATTTAAAATTATGATTAACGGTTGTTTTGTTTGTTTGCTTGTTGGTTTGTTTGTTTGTCGAAGAACACACTCCTTTCTCTGAGTTGGGGGGTTGGGTAATTCAGCGAGGGGTGTTCTTCCACTCACAGTATGGGTGAGAATGCCACAGTTAAAAAAGCTGCTGCGGTTGCGTTTGCTGCTGCTGCTACTGATGAGAGTTTTCAGAGCGCAATGGCACCTACAAAAACAATATGTACAAAATAAGCGTTTTGTTCTGGTTTTTCTTGTTGTTGCTGTTGTTGTTACTGGGGTGGTTGTTGTTATTGTTTTGCGTATGTGTTGGTTGCTCTTTACTAAGGACGGTCGCAGAAGCTTTGTTTGCTGGTGGTTGTTTGCTGTAGTTCTCTTTGAAGCTTTGGCTAAGATCAAAACTATTCTAGGCGGTTGTTGTGTTTGCTCTCGCTTAGTTAGATAATGATCGTGTTTGCTAGTCTGAGAGGGGGCGGGGCGGGGCGTGTGTGTCTGTGTAAAATAAGCTTGTGTAATGGATTTTATGATTAGATCAATGGAAGAATAAGCTCTCTTTTATTGGAGTATTTGTTTGCTTTGGGAAGAATGCAGCACTAGTGCGGTTGTTGTGTTCTCTTCTATGCTTTGGGAGGAGTTTATTTTTTAATGTGAGTTTTTTTAAGTGCAGTTGTTTTTTTCTTCTCAAATTCTCTCTGTCTATTGATAAAAGCTTTGCTTTTTGTTAACAAGACAAGAGAATTCTATGGTAATTTTATGCGTGCTCTCTATAAACTATGAAGCTTTTTAATTACTCAGCAATAACTACATTGGTTCTCTTTTTGTTTTGGTTGTTGTTGTTGCAGCTTGATTTGGCTTGGTTTTGAACAAGAAATGAATATACAAAGCTTGGCTGTTTGGCGATTGTTGTTGTTCGCAATCGTTCGCAAAGACTTTGAGTTCGTTGCTATTTTGGTTTTGTTTGGAAAAAGAATCGAATATCCACGATTTTTAGTTTAGATTTTGGTTTTTTGGATAGTTATAGCCAATTGTATCTTCGTTATTGATTCGTTAGTTTACGGGTTTTATGGTGTAGCGTTATTTCGGGTGCGTTTACTCGTTGAAATTTGTATAGCTATCGTAAATACTATCTGGCCATGTTTAGAAAAAACTGGATTCAAAGTTTTGTTGGTTGTTTATTTATTTGTTGGTGTTTGATCTGTAAAGAAAAAAGGGAGAGAGGGAATTAAAATTAGTTGTATGGCAAAAATTAAAATCAAAGAGAATAGAGGTTGTTTCTTTGGTTCCATACCCCAAACTTGACAATACAAAATTTAGTACAAATGAGAAGTTCAACAACTACTCTGAGGCGGAATTTATACACATATTTTCGGCATAGGAATCCCTATCAGAGAGGTTGGAGATCGTATTAGCATATCGTACGGCAATTATTACGAATGGTTTAGGTAGAAACGTGGACAATAGAAGACTGTTACCAAATTTCAAGGATATCACTCATAGAAACCAATCATATGACCAACACAAGCGTTGACCTTTTAATGATTTTTTTTTCAAGGACTTTCAGAGCAATATGATTGGATTTGTTAAAGAATATTTTTCATGGACTTGCCGAACTTTCAGAGCAATAAGTGTGGATTTTTTAAAGAATAGTTTTTCAAGAACTTGCAGAGCAATAGTTTTTCAAGGACTTGCAGAGCAATAAGAGGCAATTTTTTGACGAATATTTTTCAAGGACTTGCAGAGAAATAAGCGTGAATTTTTTAAAGAATATTTCTTCATTGCTCTGCATATAAGCGTGAATTTTTTAAAGAATATTTTTTCAAGGACTTGCAGAGCAATAACCGTGAATTTTTTAAAGAATAGTTTTTCAAGGACTTGCAGAGCAATAAGCGTGGATTTTTAAAAGAACAGTTTTTAAAGGACGTGCAGAGCAATAAGCGTGAATTTTTTAAAGAACATTTTTTTCATGGACTTGCAGATCATCATGCGTTGGTTTTTTAAATTTCTTTTCAAGGACATGCATGGCAATAAGCGTGAATTTTTTAAAGAACATTTTTTCATGGACTTGCAGGTTTTTAAGGACTTGCAAAGCAAGGACATGCAAAGCAATAAGTGTGGATTTTTTAAAGAATGGGTTTTTAAGGAATTGCAAAGCAATAAGAGGGATTTTTTTGACGAATATTTTTTCAAGGACATGAAGAGCAATAAGCGTGTTTTTTTAAGAATTTTTTCAAGGACTTGCAGGGCAATAAGAATGGATTTTTTAAAGAATATTTTTTCAAGAGCAATAAAAGGTAAGTTTTTGACGATTTTTTTCAAGGAATGGGCGTGAATTTTTTATTCTTCAAGGTCATTCAGAGCTACAATGGCGGATTTTTATACCTTCATGGAATATACACGTTGATACGCAAAATATGCCTCATCGAAACATTGGTTTTAGAGCCTATGTTTCTTTGAACCAAATCCGTTTCAGACAATTTGCGGTCGATTTAAAAATTTCCGTCCGCTTGCTTGTCCGTATGGCCGGTTGGTGTTCACGATAACTCTCGAAGGGTTTAACCGATTTCATCCAAACATCGTAATATTTTTTACAAATTTTGTTGAATTTGAAAGATGGGGAATATCGATCCACTGCTTCTAGTACCTCCCCTAGACAATGGCCAAATTTTGCTAAAAATTAATATTATAATATCATGCGAACCGACCATCCAATTTGAACCAACAACATATTATCTTCACAAAGCCTAGATCAAGTCCAAAGATGGAACCCATTGATCCACTTTTTATGGTACCTCCCTAACAAATGATCAACATTTTCAATATTTATAAAACCAATATCGGGTGAATGGAAGGTAAATGAAAATATTTTCAAAACACCGAAAATTTGCGGGGACTTTCAGATGGGGTCAAACTCAAAACATGGATTTGGATCGAAACTATTTTTTCACACTCCATGAACCCACAATGCTAAATTATAGGCATTTCGGGGGAGGAAATTCGTCTAAAACCTTCAAACAAATTGAGGAGGAGCTTTATATAGAGGTTATCTCATCTATTTTTTAGCCTCCATACAACACTACATCCTAAATTCGGTATGTGTTTTTTCACCAAATTGACTGTAAGTTTCTATTTTGGATTCTCTTTGAGTAGAAAATATCTCTGCCAATAATTACCAAGTTTCCTGTTACCCTCATTATTCAGAATTCGGGTTTGGGCATGTTCTTCAATCGAATTGGCTCTAATTTGATTTTGGTGTCAAATCTTCCTACCGATAAATGGTCAATACTGGTTTAATTTTTGGTATATGGGATATAATGGCAATGGCTTATTTTCGGATATGTTGAAGGCTTCTGCCTCATTTTCCTATTGTAGTGGTTGTAATTTAACATTCCCCCAAGTTAAGTTTCCGCACGATTTTCGGTATTTTTAGGTTCCTACCGAAATTGAGATAATGGATATATTTGCTGTATATTGATGTTCCTAACCCAGTTTTCCATTATTATTTCGCACGTTATTTTTTCAGAGCATGTCTTATGCAAGAACAGAGACCCCTTATAAAAGTCTCAATGGATTTAGGACATTTCCGAAACACACCACAATGGTTTACATTGTGGTGGTCTTGGAAAAGTTTCATTTTTACATATTAGGTTGAGGAAAAAGAAATCCATTATTTTTTCAGCAAAAATTGTCGATATAATTGGAGAAATAATCGAAGTTGACCGGCATGTTAGAAATCGTAACATCACCCAGGAGCTAAAAATGGGCCATAAAACATTTACACAAAGGAAGCTCAATGTTTGGGAGCCACACCAATTAACAGAAAACAATAACGGAATGAGATAGACTCATTTCAATTCAATTTATTTCATAAACGAGAACCTATCCCAAAGGGCCATGAGCGATTCCAAAAACTTCATTCCATAACCTGGAGATTGCCATTATGGATGGTGACTGGAGATGAGAAATAGATCACATACTATAACCCTGTGTGAAAACGATCGTGGTCAAAGAACGGTGAAGCACCTGAAACCGTGGCCAAACCAGGACTAACGGCCAGGAAGGGTTTGCTATGCATTTAGTAGGAACGGGATTATTTATTATGAGTTGCTTCCATATGGCCAAATGCTAAAGTCTGATCTCTACTGTCAAAAACCTGGACCGTTTAAAGATAGCAATTGTCCAGAAACGGCCAAAATTGGCCAACAGGAGAGGTTTCGTGTTCCACCAGGACAATGCTAGGCCCCAAACATCTACAGTGACTCGCCAGAAACTTCGGGGGCTTGGTCGAGAAGTTTTAATGCCTCCGCCATACAGACCGGACTTAGCATTAGGCGATTATCATCTTTTTCTTGCATTGCAAAATTTCTTTAATGATTAAAATTTTGCAAATAGAGAGAGAGAGAGATGTATTACGAAGTTACCTTTCCCTAATATATTACAATTCAGTTCATATAAAGCCTTTGGAACTTCTACGTGTCTTTGATATTTCTGTTTTACCATTTATTTGATCGTTGGGCGCCATATACGATATTTTCTAACAGTTTAAACAATTTTTAAAAGAAGTTTCATACGCCTGTACAGATTGGGATCACAGTGAGTATTTCTCCTCTTTCCCCCTGACATTTTTTATTCCTTATTTCAAATTCTTGTTTATATATTTTTTTCCAAACAAATAGTGTTTTATTTAGACATTTCACACAAAATGTTTGTTTGCATTTC